CAACAGGAAGCAGAGGGTAATGACTAACCTCAACGCATCGTCTGAGAGCAAAATCAAGACCCCATCCATGGACAAGATCATTCTGCAAGAGAAACAAACAAGATTAAAGCACCAACTTAATGATGGTTTGAAAGACTGAAAGATTCATCCATGCCACATTTGCTAGTCATGTGAATATGATGTATGATTGTCAACTCTACTGACTAAAAAAGATGACTACAGATGTTTTAGATAATCAAAAACCTGAATCATATGCCACACACATCGCCATGCTTCTCTAGAAAACACCGGTGCCATAATCTCGACAAACCTAGAGGTGGGGACAAAACCCATTACAGAAAATGATTAAGCAGTCTTCAGTGAGGTAAGAAGGAGAGAGAAAAGAGAGTCTTACGCAGCACATGGAGGTAAATGCGGATCACTGCACCATCCTGGTTTTTCTTGAGTTTCTCTGTTCACCACTCGAAAAACTTAGGGACAGATTTGAGAAAACGTAAAGGAGGGAGAGATAGAGAGAGAGCTCCTACTTGTGGACATCTCGGTCACCTCTCCTCTTTGTCATTTCCCATGTAAGTCCGTTGTTTGGCTCTAAACCTGGTTGAGAAATCTCTAAACCATGCTTCTTAACTAACTCAATGTACCTGAAAAATAAAAATACAAACATGTCACCGATCTGCAACAAACATTCCAGAAAAAATAGTTCACCTTTCTGCATTGAAGTGCTCGACTCCAAGATCTTCATCCCATATAAATATATACTCATAAGCTGAGACAACATCAGGATGCAAAAATCTCTTTGCATACCACCTGAAAAAAAAAAGATACATAGAAACAACCACAGGTTAATATCAAAAGCACATTCTCAATACTGTTTGTTGAAGAATGTAGTAGATCTGCTGGCCCTTTTCTTACCATTTGGTTTGCTTTTTTGCGCTGATATGGATTGCCTTTTTTGACCAGTCAAAATGGTCCCACTCAGTGGTGCGGCCATCATAGTGAAATAGCAAAATTTGGAAATCTTCAGAAAACTGCAGCAATCATATGATGAAACCACAATCTTAAATGTTAATGGGTATCCAAAAAAATGAGAAGGGGAGGGGGAGAATAGAGAAATGGCAGAAACCTTCTTAACAGCTGCATTAATATTGTTCCTCTGCTCAATTCCAACAGTAAAAGTTACAAGATATTTTGGTTTCTTCTTCAGATCCTGCATAATAGGTTGTTTGTTATAAGTCTCAACCTGATTAGAACATGATACCATGAATAGAAGATAGTAGAACTAGCTTACCTCACTAGGTTCACCCCATAATCTGCGCAAATAAAAATCTGATTCTGCGACAATGATTCCAGGAGGGAGTAGCTCAGCACCATGGGGATTGGTTGGAACATATATCTGGAAACATACAAAACGAAGAGAAAATGATGCTAAAAAAACAGAGGAAGTGCTTCTACTTGTAATAGGAGAGAGAGATATAGATACCTTAGGAAACTGCCTAGAACCAAAATCTTCAGGTGATTTGCCAGAGAGGGATGATACATCAAGAGATGATATAAGTCCTGAGGGTAAGTTAATCTGCAAGAATAACAAAAAAAAAGAAGATCAACCAGTAGTAGTAGGAGCATAAATAAAAAAGGACACACCCTATGAATGTATCTTAAGAATATATATAAAATACCTTAGTAAAGGAAACAGATGGTAAAGTGATACCAATAAAGAAACCAAAGACCATTGCCAAGATTGTCGTGACTATAAGCTTTGCATTTTCATTTGTTCTTCTCGGAGCACCACCGCTGCTAAAAAAAGAATGAATTACAAGTAAATATTATTATTTTTTTAAAAGAACGAAAGCAATTAGAGAAAGAAGTCGGTTTATTACAACAAGTACCTCCGGTGATTGGTCCCCATTGCAAAACTCGAACTTCAAAAAACTAAAATCAATCAAAAAGGAAAACATGTCGGTGGAACAATCAGACATATCAAAAATCTAAACAACCAATTAACGCAAAGACATATAAACGAAATCCCAAAAGTAATAAAAGTAGCGAGGGAAGATGCTTACGGAAGATTTTGGCAAAATTAGGGCTGGCTCTGAGTCGCTCTCTCTGTGATCTCGCGGGTGTGTGTGTGTGTGTGTGAGAGAGAGAGATTCAGTTACTGAAGCACTGAGGAAGAGAAGAAGAACTCAGGTGATTTACGAGAGCCGATTCTTTTTTATTTTTTTATTTTGTTTTTGCAAAAAAAGATTATTTACTTCTTCTTTTTTCTGTCTTTTTATCAATAGCTTACCTAAACATGTGCATACGTGGCTTCCTTTCTTGATTTTTGCTTCTATTTTTTTCAGCAACTCAACAAATCTTTAACCAATTAACAACAGTATATCAGGCCATCTTTATCCGGATTTCTTAAATGGGATTTTTAGGTTTACCAATTAACAACAGTATCTATATTATTAAAAGACAAGTACTCATATAAAATATCCCTGAATTTTTCTAATTATTTACAGTATTAGGCCATTGAAGTTATTAATTACCCTATCTTAAAGGATTATTTGTTTTTTTCATTTTGATTAATGTGATTTCCAAAATCAAATTTTAACTAAAAAAATTATGCCAACAATAATTAATGAAAATAATTATTTTCATATATACGTTTTGTAATTAAATAAATAAATTATATAGAAATTGTTCTACTAATTCCATATACATAATAATTAATTCCAATATTAATTAACCTACCTTTTAGAATTTTTTCTTATTAATTATCTACATATCTTTAAATAGTTTATGAACAATATTTTTTTCAAAGATATATAATTATATTTTTAATATTTATAAGTAATAACTAAAATAAAAGTCACAAAATAAACATTTATTTAATATATAATAAAAAGATTAATATAAACATATCATGTTATGTATATTTTTATATAAATAATAGTTCAAGGTAAATTCAGAATAATAAAAGTTAAAAAGTAGAAATATATAGGACCATATATTTTAAATAGTAAATAAAACAATTTAATTATACATTATCATAAAATTTTGATCCATAAAAATAAAATAAAAACATTTCTGCAGATATACGGGTCATATTTTTAAAATAAGTATGACACAATGATAGTTTATAAGATAAAATAAAATTACTCAATATAAACTATAAAATTGTGTGTTTAAAATGTCAATTTAAACAATTATTTAAACGGGTAAATTTAGAAATATATATTAACACTTATAAAATATATAAAAACAAACACTTGCGCGGATCAAACATCAAACTTTTCGGTATTGTTCTGTCAAAATTAAAGCCATAAGTAATTTGTAACCATTTAATTGATACTTCATTTTTTATTTTATATCATTTAGTATAAACCTAAAAATTAAAAGAAAACAAAACACCCGCCCGGTCGGACGGGTCATGGTCTAGTACTCATTTCAAATATTAAGGGGGGGGGGGTTATTGTGGATTTTTAAAAATTGATTGATTTATAGAATTATTTAGATTATGAAAATATATTAATGTTGACTTATAAAATTTGGTTATAATTTTTCTAGATTGCAATAGATTTTTATGAATTTGTATTACCTTTTTCTATTTTTCTTTTTCTAAATTGTAATAGATTTTCATGAATTTTTGTAAAACATGTTTATTTTTCTTAAAGAATAATAATTATACATAAACCATGTTGTTATGATAAGTTGAATATCATACGTACTAATAACTTTAACTATATTATGTCCGTTTTAATAATTTATGTGTTATTTTATTTTCTAAACAAAAAAATATAACTATACATTAAAAGGTAAGTAAATAAAAATGTAATGAATTATAATTTTGGATATATAATTTTGATTAAAGGTGAAATATATATTTCGTAAGAATAATTATTTTATTTTCTAGATGTTTAATCAAATGGATTTTACAAATCTGAAGGATACATATAATATTTTGAAAGTTGTGTGTTTATGTATAAAAAAATGGAAAATTTATCTTCCGATAACACATGATTTAGTTAGAATTAAAGAATTAATAATAACTAGACTTTTTGAATAATAAGAAATTTAAATAGATTTCGAAAATTCTTACACCAATAATAAGGAACTTACTAAGAACTTTAAAATCCATGAACCAATAATAAGAGAATTTCCAAATTTCCAAAATTTGTCACCCAATAACC